CCTTGCTTAATTGGCCTTGCAGTGCAAATGACATTTTTAATATTGTAATGATTCCTCTAGGGGAAAAAAAAAAAAAAAAAAAAAAAAAAAACTTACAAAATTCCTGTTGGCCTCCATAGCCTTTGGACTACAATGCAGGAGCACTTTTCCCAACTGCCTTTAAGTTGGGAAAAGACTTCACATAGGTGCTCCTTATCCTTCTAATGACTGATGAAATTCTAAGACTTTTCAGTATTCACTGGAGATCATAATTATAATGAGATTCTCTTTGTTATCTACCAAGCCTTGAAGCTCTCATCATTTGAGGGGAAGCACGTCTCTATTCTTTTTCTATTTAGCTGATTGTTAAAGTTTATGTCGAAAGAAGCTTGTGCCAACTCAAGCTCTAGTATCAGTATCTTTTTCCCTAACAAGAATTCGTAAGTACAACTGAAGTAGGAACAAAAGCTTCAAACCAGCTGAGCCAAATATTCCCCCCAGATTACCTCAGCCTTCTTTCCTTCATGCTTGGTGAAGATGCTAGCAGTTAGAAATATGTCCTTTACGAGGACTTTCCCCATGATAAATGAGAATAGCACCTTTGATTTTAGTGGAAATACATTAAAATTCTGTACATAAGAATCTGACCCTCTGCTCTTTTTCCTTATATCCAAAAAAGCAGCACAGTAATGGCAGGTAGTCTCCCTTTTTAAAAGAAAAGCTAAAGAAGGGAGAAGCATGAAAGGGATGATTTGATTTGTATAGCCTGTTCCCTCCTTCACTACATTTTCTCTGTATTTCCAAAGACAGGTATAGCTGGTTTAAATGCCCTTATGTGGGCGAGCAGAGCAGGGACATAATTTACAATTTACTGCCTGGAAAGAGAAATATCTCTCTTCTTCAGAGTAGGTGGGGGTCAGGCAGGAAAGAGCCAAGTCTCAGCCAAGTGGCCGTGGTGGCAATGTGGCTGGGTTTAACTGACTTAGCAGCCACCACAGAGGCTAGCACATCATCCCCACCAGTCTGCTTATTGGGATCCAGCCTTGCAGTGGCTGTAAGCAGGTCTGGCAGAAGGATATATCCTTCTGACCCAGGTTCCCATTCCAAGGAGGCCTCAGAGCATGCCGCTGAAGAGAAACTTCTTAGCTAGGACAGGTGAGACTGGGCAACTAATCTCTTCCATGGGGAGCATGAGCATCCTGGTATCCCTCCCTACCCAGCACAAACAGAAACAATGGCAGTGGTGTTATGGAAAGTAGAAAACAAGCCACAGCATCAGCAACGCTCTCTGAATGAAAAATCCTCACACAGAGCATCCTTACCAGGTATTCCTTCCCCCTCTGCAGACAGCTGGACTTCTGTTTGCACACTATCGGGTTACAGAGCTGTCCTGACTTTTCCAGAAATTCTCCTAACCTCTTCCATCTATTCAGATCCTTCATCCATACCAGCTGCTCCTCTCTCCCAAGCACAGGGATCACATTCCCATCACTCCTGACCCTGCCCACTGCTTGGCCACTCCATTCTCATAGAAGATGAAGTCTATGCATGGAAACACAATGTCTGACAAACAAGCACATAGGTTGCCATGCCCACTTTGCCATTAAAGTGGCAAAGTGCAACTGTCAGACATACTAAGTTGCTCAGAGGCAGGTGCCCCAGCTTTGGGCATGGAGGATATGGCTGACTCCTTGCCCTGAGGAAGTGGCCCCAAGCAAAAGCAGCTTGGCAGGCTCAGACATGACACAGAACATGCCGCAATTAAGTGTGTCTTTGCTATGGAAGTGATAAGTAATCATTTAATTACTGTGCTTTCATTTTTACAGAAAAAGTTCCAGTGTTAGGCCACTAAGAAAACAGAAGACTTTTAAAATAATCAGGAACCTTTTGCATCAATACTGGAGTAGCACAGTCATGGTGAACACGCTGTCCCTCTCCCCATCCACACCTACACGCTTGTGGATAGCTTCCCTGGGACATTGCTACCACCCAGGCTGCATACGACTAATTCAAATGCAAGGCATTTTGATTCCCACTCTCCTACCAGCAGCAACCAGCTGAGTCAGATGATGCTGTGCCCATCCAAGTGCACACGTGTCAGACAGGAGGCTGGAAGAGCTGAAGTACGTAGTCTTGATCCAAAGCAGTTCTGCACAACCCGGCTAAAGAGTTGGTGTTTCAAACCAACTCCATCACAAACAGCTTCACCAGGCTTGCAGTGACAGGTGCCACTGGCCCACTCTCCAATTCCTCAGCTAGATCATGCCACATCTTTCATGGGCACATTTTCAGTTCATACTTAAAAGCTTCTTCTTTATTATGCTTCATTCAACATCTGCAGCAGAAAATGCATGCTGCCAGACACCTAGTGCTCACAGAACATGTGCTCAGTCACCACCCATATACACCTCTATCAGCTACAGCAAACTGCCACACAATGGTATGTTATAAAAAATCTACTGGCATCAGAAGGGAAAGCACTACAGCACTGTATAAAGACTTACCTGCAGGATTTTCCAAATGTAAAGTGTATTTAATCATTCAGCATAGCTCAGCTATGAAAGACTCACTTTTCTCAGCCCAAATGATCTGTTTTCTCTGTTAAGAGAGAATGCCTCTATTTACTGAGGCTGTCAGAGGTCAGAAATGAAATGCATGTCAGGTCTCCTCAGGTCCACAATTATGTACTACCGTATTTCTAATTGAGGTAATTTCCATGAAAGACCTTTCTTCCATGCCCTCAGGAGAGCCAGAAAATTAAGAGCTTGTTTCTTCCAAGATAACTTTCCGCTCACCTCCATAATGCTGTTCATGGAGGACACAATGGTGCAGAACAGCAGTAATTGAGGAAAAATACTGGAATACAAGCATTTAACCAATAATGGTAGTTATTTTCCAGAAGCCTGCTGACTCTAGCGATTTTGCTAAAAAGTAACTTTGTGACTGATGCTGACTGAACACATTACTGGAAGCCAATAACCTGCAGCCAACCTGCTTTAATACCATCATTTTTTTATAGGCTGAAAAGGACCATTACCATATCCATTCACTTCCAGATTCCAGAGAGGCCTACGTACAGCCAGGTACAAAATGGTACAGTCTGTATTTTATCACGCAAGCAATACAAAGCAAAGAAAACTGACGTTGCTATTGACCACCAGCTTAAGGTGGTCCCTCATTGTCACTACAAAGTCTGAAGGTGCATCACTGCAAAATGGCGTGATACCATTATTTAGAGGTAAATCCACATTAACACCTGAAGTCTAATCACTCCTTGCGCTCTCTATCAATAAACATTTACTGGAGAAATACTGATCCCACTGAAGGCAATGTCAAAACTGCTAACTTACAATCCAGAGTGTGTTCCTGGATTTGGGAAAGAAGTCTGCAGATAAAGAAAACTCTATATCAAGTTAGGCTGGGAATGTAAATTTAAATGTAAAGATTTATGAAAGGTACTTTAAAACATTATACAGTAACAACGGTTGTACTAAACAACAGTGACTGCACCTGGATAAGGGTAGGAGGTTTTGTATTCTGTAACAGCAAACAAGTCTGCCTGTAGCTCCTGAAATAAAGTAGCAAAAAGATGTGTGGGTTGCCCCTCACACACCCACATTAAGAATACAAACAGTATCTACCTGACAACCTGAAATCTCTCCAGAAGAATCTTAATTCAGCAGTTCTTTTCTTTGGCCACTAAATTTAATTAACAGGGCACAGAAGTATCATCTAGAGCTTGTTACACTCACAGTTCTTCCTTCAGCCAATGTGATATGCTCCCATCTTCTCTGTTGCTGACAGCTCCATTTGTAAGAGTCTTTGCAGAAAGCAAATGTTAATCTGGCTAAGGTAGAGAAATGAAAAATTGGTAAACCATGAAATGCAGTGTTGAGCACAAAGCTAATCCCCAGAGGAAGAAACAAGAATGGGAGTTAGTTTATTTGTTTTTCTTTTTAACTTTGTTGAGCTTTGATCTATGAAGAGGATTTGAAAATTCTGGAGGTTTTTTTTTTTTTAATTCCTAGATTTCTCTTTGCTTCTTTATATTAAAAACTTTTAGAGTCATCTAAAAAAGAGCAAAGTTTCATGGTCATACCTATGTAAGGAAAATTATAATTTTACATATTATAATATTTCCTAAATTTCTATGAACAGAAACATACAAATAGACCATAGTGAAGACAAAATTTAACTAATATGTTAAAATTCCTTTGCCTTTGTAACACTGATAGATTAGGTTTGCATTTGAAGATCTATTTTTTTGCAAATGAAGAGGGAGCCTTAAAAAGGCTAGTGATTATGATTATGAGACAAAGACTAATAATTACAAGGGATATAGATATTTAAACAGATTGTTTAACATATGGATTTTTTTTTTCTACCTCAGTGGCCACTTTAATCTGCCACTAACAGACTTTGGAAATTGCTCTCTCTTTATAAATTCTGCAAGCAAACTGCCCCACAGAACCAGCAAGATAATCAAAATGAATGTTTGAAACCTAAAGCAGCACTAAGAATGATACAGATGTTTGAATTCACAAATAATTGTCTGTTTCTCAAGTTTCCCTCCAGTAGTGAAAGCTTAAAATGATCCATTTTTCATTCCTGAGATTATGCTGGCTTTAGCAGCTGTATTCAACTTCACAGCCATCTAAAGAAAACTCCTTCAAGGGGCGTAGATATCTCCTAGGAGAAAAACATGGCCAAACACACTGCAGTGCCAAAAACCTACTCATTAATAAGTGCAGAAGGGAGAACAGATCCAGGGATATTAGTCATGTTTCCACTCTCCAGCCTTTACAAACAGGACTGAGCTAAAAGTCATTACATCATTCACCTATCCACTTTTATTTCTAGAAAATTGTATCACTTTCTGTGAGCCAGAAAGAAAAAAAAGATTGTTCACAAAGGTTGGTAGTAGCTCTATATGGTAACCGATGGGTTCGACTAAGGATTTAGAAAGAGAGGAGGATGATGAGCCATGCCACTCATCCCGTTTTCTTTCTTGTACTCTGCAGCTGGTGTTGGGACTACAGGAGGCTCAGAAGCAGAACCAATCACATCTCCAATCAACAAAGCAACCTGCTTCATGGGAATAGGGCAATGAAAACATCCAAAAGACTTCATATTTTATCTACGTGTGTAAACAAGGAAATATGAAAGAATTTGAGAGGCATATGGATGAACTGCACGCATGCATACTCACATTATATTTCACATGCACAGAACACGTACTTCATATGTTAACATGGAATGGCATCTGCAGTCTGAATTTGATGCTTATTAGTTGTTTTCACTCTTCAAATTAACTGACTTGTGCATTAATCAATACTAAAGATGCCCAGGTATTTCTCCATCACTTTGAAGAAATCACGCTTTCCACAATCCCATCTTTGAATATTTGTTTCTTTTCACTGCAGTGTCCTGTGTTTTATCACTTAAATGCACGTGCTGTAACAAAACACGTGTTTTTTAAAAAACACCTTAATCTTTAACTGCTGTAATTTCTGTTGCAAGAAACAGAGATAAATCCTTCTGAAATTATTTTTTGTGTTCTACTCCAGGTTGATGGTTGGACTAGATAGATTTATTGCTCTTTCCAACCTTAATAATTCTGTGATTCTACCATCCCATCCTCTCTCATCTGACTCCATGCTGTAGAGACTCTGTTTTTGACCTCTCCTCCTGTGGAAACCACCTCATATTCTTGATGATCTTACTGCCTTGTTCTTCTGTAGTTCTAGATGACAGATTTATGGAAATGAGAAGAACTTGAAATGAAAGCAGTGCTCCAAATTTGGATTTCTCACAGATTTTATGCAGTGGTTTGTAGCGCTGTTCTACTATGCTGCTGGGTGGTCTATTTCTCTTGTAGCAATTTCTGGTGTTTATCGTTGAAAATCTTCTTCCATAACATTTGTCCAAGCTACCCAAACTGCTCCTTCAATAACCAGATCAGTTCTTGGCCCTTACTAAGACACGATTCCTATTTCTGGTGTGCTTGGAAGAAAAAAGAAGCTTATTGTTTTGTTTGTTACCTTGCCTTTATATCTAACTGTACCACAATTTACACTTCACTTCTACCTTCCTCCTACAGATTTCACTCCTACAATTTAATGACTATGTTTTTAATTCCCAAGAGTCTCATTTACTCCTGTTCAGCAGTGCTAGCTTCTTTTTCCAAGTGTAGAAGTAGAATGACACTCTTTTTAATTGATTTAGATTTATGTTGTTACTAAGCATCACACAGAAACATGCTGCAAGGTTCCATGATACCATTAAGCATTTTAGTCTACAACTAATCCTTTTACTTAACCTTTCAAATTGAGAAACACTGTGGTGGATATTCTGCATGGCATCTCTTTATTAGAACAGAACTCTTGCATATCCTCACTGGTCTTCCCATCACTGTATGCTGCATGTGTACTTGCAGTGCCTCAGTAGCACTGTAATACTATGTAATTAGTTTGCCCTTTCAGAGAGGATCACGAGGACCAACACTGAATGTATAATAAAACTGTATAAGTATCAGAGCTGCATACTCACAACAATGTACGTAGAAAAGAGATGCTGCAACTGAAAATCACTCCCTCCTCAGCAATGCATATTAAAAGATCTTCTGCCTGTCAGGAAACTGTTTCTCCTCAAAAGAACTGGTCAATATGTCCACCCACTACTAATGCTGTCTGTTTCCTCCTTCCTGCTTTGGACTCATCCAGACATACTTGGAATAAAATCTGTCCCTTGATGAGATTTCCATGGCAGCACTGAACTCAGTGGAAACTGCCGCAGGGATGGCAGCCCTTGAAAGTTATGAGAATGCTGATGCAAAATGTTGCTACTGAAGAATCATAAAGGTTGGAAAAGACCTCAAAGATCATCTAGTCCAACCATCAGCTTGGCATTGAACGTAAAAAATAACTCTGGAAGTTATAACCACCATGCCACTAAACCATGTCCCTCAGTGCTACATCTACACATTTTTTGAACATTTCCAGGAACTCTGCCATTACCCTGAGCAGACTGTTCCAACACTCCATCACTCTTTCTGAGAATAAATTTTTCCTAATATCCAACCTGAACCTCCCCTTGTGTGACTAAAGGCCATCTCTTGTCCTTTTGCTGTTACCTCACCGAAGCCACTTAAAACATAATGTATTTTAATGGTGAAGGTATTTTTATCTAATTCCACATAAAACTGAGAACAGAATTAAGACAAAAATTGAGTAAATGTATACAACATATAGAATAAAATATGAGTCTAAATAATGCAGCCAAAATGCACCATTGTTCTTCACCCACAGAACATAGTAATAGTACAAAATTAGCAGAGAAAAATCAGAATTCCTTTTAAGCAGAATAAGCAAGCTGAGAGACGTATCTTTAACCATTTAGAAACAAAAAACAGGACTTTTTTTTTTTTTTTTTTTTTAAGTCAACTGAAGTCAGTCACATTTAAGCTGTTGAGCTCTAGCCCTGCTTTTTCTATCAGTCACTGTGTTATGCATTTCCCTCTTTATCTTCTGTCATATACAATCTCCTGTGACTATGGAAACATCCAGTTCCTATCATCTGTATTTATGTGCTAAGATATCACAGCTAGAAACATACTGACTTACTCAATTTTGAGTGAAACTATTTTGGAAAATAACCCCTTAAAATGTCACACCAAAAAAAGCTTAAAAAGTTTTTGCCATTGACTTCAAAGAGCACAGAGAAATTATGGGCAGAAAGTGTGCCATAAGCATGATAAAAATAAATTTCTTAGTCTAAAAATTTCTACTCTTTTGCTGCTTCTTTTCATTGAAATAAACAAATGTAACTCAAATACTTGCGTTGTCATGAATACCAGCACTACCGAGTCCACATACCTGAGGCACAGTGATTTAATTCTTTTCCATCATCAGCTAAATTCAGCTTAAGGAGTTTGCATCTACTGGCTGTCAAAGCACTACGTCGATTCTTAGATTTTTAACAGAGATTTCACTACTGGCTTTAAAAGAAAAGAGAAAAATATGTGAAGAGATGTTTGATGGGGAATCTACTACAGAAAATCAATACACCCAGAGAACTAATATGAAACCAGCCTTTATGAGCCATTCTACAGAGTACAGCTGAACTGGGTTTAAATTGGTTTCAGTCAGGATTTATAACTCCTGGAGTCATTAGCTCAACTGGTGTAAAACAGTACTGTCCAGAACTGTCATTCTGGAACATGTAAAAGGGTGGAAAAAATTGGAAAAACTAAAATATTTTGCTGTCTCAGGCAGTCTGGTGGAAGAGTCCTGTATGTTGACATTTTAAATAAACCCTGTTTGAAAACAAATTTCAAAACCTACAAGTGGCAGACTCTCAAGAATTTTGTAAATATTGCTATTGAAGTCACTTTGTCCAAATTTTCTGGAGGAATTCCTGTACTTAGTTGTGAGCAAAGAGCACTGAGTTTCAGAGTATGTTAGCACCTCCTGTGTACTCTCTTCCTTTAGCTAGTTCCCCTGCCTTTTCCAGAATGAGTACATCCAAAATAACACTTGAGCAGTGCAAACATAGAAACAACACAAATTTTACCCTGAAGGTGATTTTACAGAAAATAAGAAAATTATATCAAGGAATGAACTTGGCTCCACCTATACACAGGCCTCACAGGTGTGTGTGTGTCCTTTCATAGAGATGTCCTATTGGGCAAGTTTTGGTATGCTGCCTGTACAACATCTTATCTGACCCTTTCAGATTCACATTTGTATTTCCCCCAACTGCTTTTGGCTCCTGCAAGAGGTAACGCAGAGCTGGATGCACTTCTGCAACAGTGGAAAATTTGCTAAGATAGAATCTAAAAATGGATCATATAAAATGCAAACTTAACAAGATGCATAACCACCAACTTGCTTTCCTCAGAAAAAATAAATAAATAAAATTAAAAAAGGAGAAAAAAAAGTCCCTATTGTAACAAATTTTAAAAGTGCTATTTTTTAAATAGTGCTCCTGGAAGAAAAAAGATAAACAAGAATGTGGCCTCTAAAATCTAAAAGATTATGGTTTTAACAGAAACAATCTACATATAGGTAATCTAATGGGAGATACTACGTTGGATTTAAAAAAATAAATAAATTTAAGGCTGTCCTTTAAAACTTGTTTTTCCAAAGCAATATTTTTTACATTTTTTAATCCACACTGCTACAATCCATATTTCAGTGTAACTGGATCTAAAGGGACTGTGAAATAAACATCATTTCATTATGCTGATAAGGAACAATAGAAATGTTGCGAATTTGCTCCTTTCGTTTCCGGAAAAAAAGAAAACCATCATATTCCTGAAGACAGCAGGGCTACAAAATAACCATTTTATACTCAAGGCTGAGTTAACATCATTAGTTTGCTACTTTGCTAAGCATTAATCCATAGGATAATATAAAAATATTTTTCTAACATGCAACAGAACATGCTCAGCCTACATCCTCATTTCCTTTGTTCAGCCTCTTAAAAAGATGATGCCACTTAGAATTGTGAGGCCATATACAGATTTTAAAAACTAATTTTATTTATTTTTTTCCCATCACTGTCGGTTGTTCAGTTTGAACAGTATGACTAAATTTGCTTTTGCCATCCTGCTGTCTTCTCCAGTCCTCAGGACACCCACTTGAAGCTCGTGGGTGTATGATGAAAACTGTCCACATTTCCCCACTTACCTCTTATTGGTATCCTCAAATGTTGCTCCTTCATCTCGGTTTCTCCCCAGCACTTCCAAAACACCCTCCAGGTTCCTACACAATTTTCCATGCCTTTCTCCTGAACTCAGAGCACTTTGCTATCCCCATATTGTGTTCCTCTCCTATCCCAAAAATCAGCTGCCATTCACCAGCTCTTCATGGGGGGAGAAGTGCCTTTTGGGAACTCTCTACTGTTGTACTTCTCATAGCCCATTTCATCATGGCTCTCATTCTCCACCTCACAAGCACTGATCATTTCCCAAAGTGCCCTGGAACCAGACAGGTTTCTGATCAATAAATAACTCTGTTTTACATGGTTCAAATTTACGCTTTTATTTGTCTTTTTTAAATTAAAAAAATAAATTTCATTATTAAATAGTGGAATGGGTCTAAACTAAGGTTTACATATTAATTCACTTGCTTTAGAATTCCAGAGAAACAATTAGAGTATACCGCCCAGACAAAACTCTCTGTTAGAAAGCTCAACAGTGGCGTAATTCAGTTAAAACGGGGAAAAAAAAAAAAAAAAAAAAAAAAGTCTTAATGATTACAATGAATGTTAGAAGTAAACCTCTGGTGTTGGTGTCATCCGAATCCGTTTTCCATCGCAAAGGCAGTCATTGTATTCGGAATACTATACCACAGTGCTAATGTCATCAGCTTCATCTGGTTTCTTTTGCCTGCTTGGCAGGGATTTCAAGTATTCAAGGTGCCTCCTTGCATCCTCCTGATTTTGCCGGACGTAATAAACCACATATGAGATCACCATGGTGAACCAGCCAAACATAGTGACCAGCATGGCGTAATCGGTAGTCTTTTTGGGAAGGTTACAGAGGTCAGCATCATTGGCAGCATTGAGGAATGGCCTCCCAGCGTGTTCATCCAGCACAGAGGTCTTGCAGATGACATTGTTGGCCGTCTCATGGTTGACGGCCATACTCCTCAATACCTGCTGCAGTGTGCAGTCGCAGTGCCATGGGTTGTTTGCAATCCTGGCTCTGGCCTTTAAGTTGTTGAAAGCGTTTTTGTGCACACTTTGAATCCTGTTGTCGGACAAATCCAGAGTCTGCAAAGTTTCTGCCACCCCTTTAAAGGCATGTTCATCTATAAATTCAATCCCGTTTTTCGATAAATTGAGGACTCTCAGTTGGTGCAAATCCTTAAAAATTTCATTGGGGATAGATGTTATCTGATTGGAGTCCAAATAAAGTAAGACTGTTTCTGGTGGAAGATCTCTGGGTATCTCCTTGAGGTTTGCATTGCTACAGCTGACATTTAAACCTCCAGAGTGAGAACAGAGGCAGCCTTTTGGGCACATACTGGCAGAATGAAAGCACAGTATCATGAGGACAAAACTTTGTAAGAGTAGACACATGGAGAGGGAACGAGTTAACCACAGGTCTACCAAATGCATGCTGGGGTGTCAGCATAATCACACGACCATTTCTCATTCAGCCAAAAGTGGTGGGAAAAGGATCGGCGAAGCTGAAGTGTGGCTTCATTTTCTTCAGTGGGATTAGTAAAAATTGACTAACATGTGGACTTCCTCATGGTCATTACTCTTCTTAAAAACACACCTGCAAAGAGGAAAAAAAGTTCCTTATACCATAAACTCCAACTCCAACTTTTTTTTTTTTTAAAGAAATAAAATGAAGTGAAAGGGAAAGGCAACACCACAACACAAAATAAATGATCTATTGTCCTACCACTGCAACAGAGTATTTATTCAAGTACCTCCTATTAGCATTAAAATGAGTTTAGTACATAAATCCCTGGGACGTTTTTAGGAGGATAGACTAAACTCAGTCCAAATTGCACCGGCTTAGGCTTTAATACTTATTAAAAAAGACACTGTTTTGTTTGTTTGTTTGTTTTTCAAACCAGACTTTTCTAAAATATCCATAAAAGTAAATCACATTTTCCCTCGCTAATGTAGGAGATGCATTAGCAGAAGTTAGGATTTGGATCTCCAGAAATAGTGACAGGCAAGTGAGGCAACAGTGGTGGTTAATGTGAACTTATCTCAAAACAATTTATGTTATTTTTGGTCCAAATCAAAGTATCACAGCAGGGAAATATTTAAACTATATCCGTAACAATATCATCGATAAATTAGTAAACTAAATAATATTGGAAGTCACCACAAACATTCATCATCTCCCTGCTGTCTGCCCATTTCTTTCTTGCTGCATTCTCATTTCCTGTACCTCTCAGTATTTTGTGAGCTACTGTTGAGACCCACAGAAATCACTTACACCACTAGTTTCTTGAAAATTTTCTTTACATTTAAGATAGAAAGAAATAAATGTAGCAGTTGCCAAAAACTCTCAGCCTCCCCACATTAAATAAACCTCACACAAAACTATGTGCAAGCCAAACAAAAAAAGTTATTCATGGCATGTAATTTGCTAATAGAACACATGAAAAATATTGTTTCTTCTCCCCTTGCAAGTTGGCTTAAAAATAGTAAATATCCAGAAGCTTTTCCATTTTCTTCTTTAATTGGAACACAAATACAGAAGTCTGAAATGCTGACCTATAAGGTTGGAAAGACAACCTCATTTATTTTTTCCCCTATTATGGCAAACTACAAATTTCTAACCACAACAGGTCCATTTGTTTTCACGCACATGCCCCCCTCTGTCTTTGTAGCAGCTTGGATATTTGCAGCCTTCAGGTTGTATTTACATATAAATGAATTTTTTTTTTCCAGCACACAATGTAGTCTGCTGAACAACAAAATCCCTGCAGGAAGGATGTGTGCAATTCTATGGGAAACAGAAGAAATTGTATTGCACTCATAGCAGAATTCACATACTAACTGCAGTTCTGGCACATCACAGTCATACGGATTAAATGTGTCACAGAGTACTTCAAACCTACAGTTCAATTTTTATTTATCCCTTCTTGATGACTGTCAGAATGTCAGTAACCCTACAGGAAAAAACATCTTATGAGTATGCATGTTATGCGTGGCTACTTCATTTCTACAGCTTGGAAATGGAAAAAGAACATGTTTCATTGCAACTTCCTGTATCACTACTTGTCAGCTTATTTACTGATCAAGAGAGAGATTGCCC